ATTGTAACAAATTGTAGCAATGTTTTATTTGTTCCTTTTATCTGGAGTGCGCTACCAGCTGCGGACTATGGAGCGATGCGAGCAGACACGTCCTCCGCTTTATTGATAACTACCTTCTGCTACCGGCTTCGTTTGAGTTACTGGGATAAATAATAACCTCCGTGGCGTTATAACATAACAATATTCTGAATCCTAGAAGTAATAACCACACACAATTACGGCTTCAATGCTATTTTTTGCCTACACTGGAAATCGAATTCAAAACTCCTTGCACAGCAGGCAGCAAGTTAAACTTGTTCAAACTAATGTCCAAATACTCTAACGACACTCCGCTTAAGTGTAGTTCCGTAACTACATTTTTTTATAAAATGACAGAGAAGGCACGATATTTAAGTACAATTTAGAATCATTATACTTCAAGTGCTATACTTTATATAGTAATAACAGTCAAACATTTTTAGTTTTACAGATTACAGTTAATGACATAAGAAAACATGTAGATTATTTAAACCTTTCGGCGATACTCGAGCACTTTTTTAGGGACAAGCCCGCCACAGCCTTCCAAAGCTGCTGCAACTCATATAAGCTACGATCTGCAGTAGATACAACCATGAAAACACCGGAACACTGAAGTCCGGCGCGTCCCAGGGACATGAACAACTGTCTTGGTTCCCGCAACACATTGAATCAGAAGATATTATAAGAGGAGAAAAAACCAATAGTTTCCACTTCCCTCGGTGAATTACTGCAGGAGATAGAACGAATTAAGCATATAGGCTGCGGAAAATCCGATAGGTTACCGGACTCCGGCTCAAAGTAGAAGTACTTACGAACAAGATGGTGTTTAGTCAGCAAGAGTTTGACCCTCCCTCTCGCCTCATCTAAATCATTATAATAATGATTTTCCCTCTCAAAGTAAAACCACAAATCTGGATGTCTGGGATTACAATCTGTTACAAGGATGCGCCACCACACAATGCATGTACACATTGTACATGTATGTTGTTACATTGTACACAAACCGCATCGTTTGGTTTGTATCAAATATAAATTAGAGAATCTCAGTATTGTTAGTTGCGGTTTCCGTATCCGTTGTCCTGTTTGATTATTTGGTCGTGCAAGAAATCATTTGGGATTTTTTAATGCCATCCTTGTGTTCAAGGGAATTTGGCGTGATTCTTATTTCATTATGTACTATAAGATACCTATTGTAATTGGTACATAAACATACTGTACAATGTACATACATACACATTTCAAAAGTTAAGATGTGCCATGATACACAATGTTTGTTTGACAATGCTATTGTAAAACATGAAATACAATCGACAAATCCATACTTTACTTAATGTAAATACCAAAGTCGTGCCATCTGCTCAACACTCACACTTGCCAGTCGACCAACGAAACCGACGAGATGTGAATGAATTTAATATTATTATGGCCAGAGACCAAAAATATCGAGACCATTATTGATCAACAACCATTGGAGAACACACAATCGAATCGACATACGACAATAGTTTATTCTAGGGTAAAAACGACAATAGCTCCAATAGCCAGGCAGTTTACACAAACTCCGAAATAATCGAAATTTCCGTAAATATAAACACGTAAATGAATGACGACGTATATTGTGCGCCTTAATTGTGTAAGACAATAAGTACTTGCGCGCGGTTATCATTCGTTTAGTCTGTGAACTTTCACCACGAGGTGACGGACAACTGTTAGTTACTGACATCAGTTACAAGTGTCCACATATCTGTGAAGTTTCAATTAATAACATTGGTCGGAAATATACATAAACAGATACCAATCAACCGATCAATTCTAAAGTAATTTGTTAATATTTCATCGTCCTAATCAAAGGTTAAAAGTTCGTATTTTCACGTCAAAAAATGTGTGTTCAATATTTTTAATTCAGCAAAGTGTCGAGATAATAAAGTGTGCATAATTTATATTTTGGTAAATAATTGCGTGTGAGCAGAGTTCAAGCGTACCGTTAGCTGTTAAATTAATTTGCTGATCTATGTTTGTGATATTTTTGAGTTTAAAGTGTGACAATATTTATTTTGGTACAATCTCTTAAATATGTTTTGTAAATCCGAAATGAACTAGTGAATTTTAAATCACTGTAAGCAATGATAGAATTATGTTTATTTGGTGCACATTTAGAGAAATTCTTAGCTACCTAATATTTCCCCAAAATATATAAAAATCATAATAATATAATCTATCCAATAACTTGTTCACTGTCAAAAGTCAGAATGCTATAGAATTTCCTACAAACAATAGTTTACAATAAAAACTCCACAACAGTCTTCGCATAGACGTAGAATTATCGAAGCGTTACTGCTCAACCGGTCTCTCTTTCACGTGGTTTTATAATTACTTTCTTCAATAATAATTAATTTCAGTTGCCAGTTTTTTGCAGATCATTTTCAATTACATTTTTATCATTAGGAACACAATCTAATTAGAGACACCGAGCAAGTTTACAGTCAGTTTATATTGTGTTGCCTTTAATATTGAAAGTGAACTTTAGAAGAAATAGGGACCGATGTTATTATCAGTCTCTTTCCATAAAAATTAAAAGAGATTCTGTTGGATATTCAGGTGTATTTAAACCCACTCCCTACCGCTTCGGGAAATACATAAGACTTGAAGTTATGTGCAGGGGCAATGCATTTAAACACTTTATTAATATTTTAGTGCAGTGGTATGCTCATGCGCCGTAGTTTCCGTATTGCGTGATGTGCGTACTACTGTTAATTTAAATTTAAAGGACAGCGACATGCCTTCACGTCCACGCGTCGTATTAAAAACAATAACAAATTATATTTGTTGTCTCTTTTACATAAGTTGTGACAAAGTGAGAGCGGAGTTGTAGGTACTTAGTACATTATTTCACGACCCCTACACTTTCTGCGAGTGACCTAAGAGCCAATTAATTGATGACTGGTCTCGATCCAAGATATTTGGACTGATGTCGATTTTTAGATAGTTTTTGAAGAAAACTGAGAGTCGATTCAGAGTTTTTAATTAAGATTAGTTATTCATTTTGGTCGCACGGGACACGGGACGGGTCGACATTTGACAAATACCTTCAGTATTATACCTATTATTATGTAGGAAAGTAGACAATATGCTGTGAGTAAGTAGACAAGGTGTCCATTCAGAGGTTTTCATTTGAACTTAACTTTAAAGTGTGAGAGAGCCATGCTTCGGCACGAATGGGCCGGCTCGACCGGAGTGATACCACGGCGTCACAGAAAACCGACGTGAAGCAACGCTTGCGTTGTGTTTCGTCGTGTGAGTGAGGTTACCGGACCCCAATTCCTCAATCCACTTGTAACGCCGCTGGTGTTCCAGGTGTCCATGAGCGACGCCGATTGCTTACCATTAGGTGATCCGTCAGCTCGTTTACCGGCTTATGCCAAAAAAAAAAACTTCTCTGTTTTTATTAGAAACAAGCCCATCCGATGAATCCACGGACCCTGAACGGTACAGTTACGCTACTGGCAATATGATAGCGAGATAATTATTTTAAACGATCCTCCTCCTTAAATTTGCCTTGCAAAGTGAAATAACATCGTACAGGAATGTCCTGTAGTTATAGTTAAAACTTGGCACTGGTTCACCCAATGTTATTAGCTACTAAAAATGCACAGCACCGCTTGCAGACACTTCAACTCTCGTAAAATTGAACTCTCCTTTACTTTAATATCATTTTAGTGTTCAATGGACGAACTTCAATGTGTTTTAATAATATTCTAACAAAGTCTATTTTTCTTTGAAGTGCGAGTATATTTACGGTAAATATAACGTTAACTACATAAAACATTATGTACCTATACACTTGTATCACACGTAGACTCGAAAACAAATATTTGTTCTGAACGGACATTGAACCTGTCGCGTTACGCAGTCTATCACTTAGCGACTGCATCATCCTTGCAAATACCTAGGTAGGTACTATTAGATAGATTTTATTCATAAACCTCAAAGAGGAAAAGCTTCCTAAGTACTACTAGGTACTAGGTACTACTACCTTTTGTTTGACGTAGGCATTAGATAATTAACACCACAAACGTATTCCCAGTAAACGAACATACTGTACATCATCGTTAGACCCGGTAGTCACTTATGACTAACTACGTGTAAGTAATTGGGGCATTTCCTTCTCATTACTCACATACCTATGACAGTAATAACTAAGTCATTGCTTACTGTAAACTCCAAAGTAGTAAGAACAAAATCGACGTGACAGTCAAAAATAGTCCACTTCAATAGAAGTATAGAAGCAGTGTAACAGTGTATAACTCGGGATATTTCATCGTGTCACACGTAACGTTTCTACAACAAATCCCTCGATTTTCGTTCTAACTTTAAAATAAGAAAAGCAGACGGTATCAGCCACTTATCTCAGGCAATTCGTTTGCGAGTACGCGCCAGTTTTTCCGCGCGACTTAAGGCTGCATTGACTACAATTGCTCTCGACTGAAAGCCGAAAGGGTGAACATTGTGAAGATTGGGAACAAATAGGTCACTGTGCCGGCACTCTGTCTTCTTATACAATTACTTAGTGGATTACTGCTGACACAGACTTCTAACACCAGTCGAATACAAACAACGAAATAGAGCCCTCTATTGTGAGTTTGTTGTAACTAATCACTTTAAAAGTTGTTTTTGTATACCTTTTATTAAATAATGTTGATCCCCGGGGACTTAGTGTAAGTCAATTACTTGTGTTGATGATGTTTCTCAACTATTTCGACTGTTAAGTAAATTGTCTTATAATGGCAATGTGTACAACACAATGCGTTGCAATATTTATCTCAAACATTTCAGCAAATTCATTTAATTAACTGCTCAGTGATTCGTGAATGTAATGTTTATAAATAAAAATATATTTCAGTACATGAACGGTAATTAGTAATAACGGAACTAATATAATATATCGTGCTTATATAAATAATAAAATACTAAATAAAAACTACATATTATATGAGTGTAAAAGAAAGTGGAAAGTATTTGATTGTTATAAATTGATTTTCTTCAACGAACGTAAGGAAACATTAATCATGAGGTGAGTACTAATAAATAATAGTGTTAATTATCAATTTAAGTTAGGAAATACATAACACTTCTCAAATTCTCGTAAGGCCTAGCTTCCTTCCTGGTAACATAATATTTTATCATGTCTTATTACAAGTAAATTAGTAGTATACTTACGGCCGATGTCTCCAACCACCTCAAACTAAACCATATCTTAAGTAAGAGTTACTTAGCATTAGGAACTACCTAAATTAACACTTTAGGTGTTATTTATAGGTTAGTGAAAACCAAAATCTGCCTCGTTGGCCGAGTGGTCGCAACTGCGACTGCCGGGCAAGGCGTCTCGGGTTCAATTCCCGGGTCGGGCAAAGTATTACTGGGTTTTAAAAATCTCAGTAGTAGCACGGAGTCTGGAAATGTGCCCGGTATATGGCAATAGGCTCACCCCCTATTACATGGAACTCATAACATAAATAGTGAAAACTGGGTGGTACAGCGGCATTAAGTGCCGAAATGTGCACCTCTGCCTATCCCTTCGGGGATAAAAAGGCGTGATGTTATGAAAACCAAAATGTCGTTAAGCTGTCCTGTCTTAGCTTAGGGGTAGGGGGGTCTTTTTTTTTTTAAGGGGGGAAAATCATCGAATGATTGCTCCCGCCTGGGTGAGGCGGAAGGGAGTGTCAGACTCTTACTGACTAAAAACCACCCCGTTCCTTCTCCTGCACGTCGATCCGGAGCCCCGGTTACCCGTTAGGTTCTCCGCGACAGGGGTAGGGGGGTCTTAGGTTACTTAAAATATAAGAGAGGTTCGGGGAAAGGGACAGGACTTAAATAATTCCTACAATAATTACACTTCATAGCAACTACAACAAACAATATCGATTTCTTGATTGCCTTAGAAACGAATACTATTGTTTCAGCCATCGTCTCACATTTGTATTCATTTGAATTCCAATTTGTAAACATAAATACTTTAAGTTATTGAGGGACGATGGCATCGGTAGCATTTCATATTTTAATTAAGGCCAGCTGGCAAAGTATCGTAGCTTCGGTGCCGATACTGGGGTCCGGGGAGACCGGGGTTGGTTTATTATGGCATTAGACAGTCAACGAATAGGCGAATCACGTGATGGTAAGCAATCGGTGTCACCACGGACACTTGCAACATTATAGGAGCTGCTATGGCGTTACCGGCCTTTTGGAGATGAGAGACGGAGGGAAGTTTCGCCTTCGGTAACTTCACTCACAGGGCGATACATGACACAACTGAAGCCGTTTTGTCTGCCGGCTTAACTGTCACAGTACCTAATTTGTGGCGATAGGTTCGTCCAGTCCCATCGAGGGTAAAAAATCACGACGGTATAAACTCTTCAAAGCCAGTTTTTTCAATTATTATATATATCGTTCGTTGTCTGTAACAACCCACCCTTGAGACAATCTACCCCGGCCTCCTCGACGTAACCTAACTTAGTATGATATTACAGCCAAAGTATTACGTTCACAGAGCGGTCGTCCTCATCACGCTGGCAGTCTCCGCCTGTGTTCAAAGCGAAGCTCCTCATGGTAAGCACTGCTCCACTAATTACTTGGAACTATACTCGCCGTTGCTTGCACTACTAATTAAGTCACTGCCTCTTATGGCATGATTTTGTGAAACATTTTTTCGTGAAATATGTATTGGCTGGCTAAGACATGCCATGCATACTTCATAGTTACTTTTTTAGCTTCTACACATTCATAATATGTCTGATCTGCTTATAATTTAGTGTGCTAATAACCTGTTTCCCGTTTCTCAGGCTATATAGTGAACAAGGTTGCGGGTAAAGCATATAAAGTGATGTACCAAGCACAGACATGGACACGAGCGAAGGTGGAATGTGAAGCAAACGGCGCTACACTGGCTGTGCCCAAATCACAGGTAACTACTGCATAAATATAGAAGTAGATACATATGTCTAGAACCAACAAATTGTAGTCCCTTGTGAACAGTCGAGTTACATTTCTATGAAGGCTTTGAAATAATATAGCACGTACGACGCGACGTACACAAACTCGCTCAAACGAACATTTGCCACAGTTACTTATCTTCCTCGAGTGTGAAGAAAACACTTTTACTTACTTTCCCTGTCGTTCGTGATTAATAATTCAAAAGTAAAATAAAGCCGAAGCTGTGTTCCGAGTACGGCCCGCCAGGGAGGGCGTCACAAACTCAGCACAACTTCACTGTAAGCAGGAAAAAGTTAAGTGACAGCTAGAACGAGAAGCAATCCAAGTTTGCGCGCTCCGAGGCTCCGAGCACAGTTTAAAGAAATAACTTACAATAAGTACAATGGCGGCGCTGCAACATTAAACGGTTGACTATTGCTACTTGAGGATGACTGCCGAAGTGCCGATACTCCTCGCTTCCAGTGACGGATTAACCAAACTCCGCAATATTGAGAGAGCCTTCTTCAGGTTTCACTTAAAAAATACTCTAATGTAGAGAGAGAGGTGACTTAAATTTTACTGGATACCCTTTTGCAATGACCACAGAGGTAATAGGTCCATATTATAATATACGATTTTATTTCAAGTTGACACCTGCATCACGACTGGTGCTCCAGGCACGATGATTCCTCGTCTAATTTATGGTCACCATTTGTAGACACACAAGTCGTAACTACATTCGACTGAATATAAGTATTTCACATAAAGGGACTATCATCTGCCTTCCATAACTCATAATTAGGTAGTTTCAACCCAAATAAATAGATACATGCTGTATAATTTGTCCAGGACGAGTTCAAGTTCCTGCAGAAGCTGGTGCGTGGCATGTACTACCCGAACATCGTGGGCTCCTGGTACAAGCTGCTGGTGTGGCTCGGCATCAGCAACCTCGATGACTACACCGTCTGGAAGAATGTAGATGGTAGTATAACGCTTTTAGATAAAATACTGAGAAGATATGTACCACTTTTTGTTTTCAGAACCGGAGGCCTAATTACCCCCCTCCCTAACCTCCAACAATTGGGCTCGCTGCCATTGCAGCGGTAAGTCCCCTCTTTGAGGAGTGGCTTGAAAGACGCTACGGCGTCCTCACCTACCGCCTGACGCAGGTCCTCACCAGACATGGAAGTTTCGGGAGGTACCTGTGTCTGATGGGGCGGGAGGAAACGCCCGGGTATCATCACCGCGAGGACCACCCTGAGGACACGGTGGAAAACACAGTGGGGGAATGCCCTGCGTGGGCTGAGCACCGCCGTGCCCCCAGGGAAGTGATCGCCGATGGCGTCCGGGCCTAGTGCAGATCATGATGCGGAGCGAGGTTCCTAATTCCCAAAAGGCCGGTAACTTGTTCCATCATAAAAAAATATTCATGATGTAGTGCACATTTGCGTATATTGGATCATTGGATATAGGTACTGGTTACATTCCGATAAAAATTGTATTCCATACACCTAATCTGGAACTAAAAATCTCAGGATTATTGGGACACAAGTAGGTACAACCAATGAGACAGTCGACTAAAATGGTATTAGCAAATGTGAGGCTACAGAGCCACATCACATCAACAGCCTATAAGTGGCCACTGATAACCGAAGGCAGCTTCTCACACGGAGATGGTTTGAGCATTAATCACCTTATTGCTTGCTCAATGCGGTTTGGCGATTTCAAAATTATAATTAGAAATTATAAGCCCAGGTTTCCTCACGATGTTTTTCCTTCACCGTTGGTCAGTGGTGTCTAAATAATTTTAGAAAGTCACATTTATACTTGCCGTTGGTAGGTTTCTAACCTGCACCCTCGTGCATGAGAAGCAGCCGTCTTCAACCTCCGGGCCACCACGACATTTTGCTACAGAATACAACTAACTAAATACAACTATTCAGTCTTATCTTATTTTGATTCCAGGTGAAAACATCAATACAACAGGTTTCAGCAAGTGGGCCAGTAATTACGTCGCATTCAGGTAAATTCAGTAAATAGTTTTTAGTCTACATTACATATAGTTACTAAACTACCACAGTTCGGTTTATCACCCACATGGTGGCACATCGTTATTATGTTCATCTCACGGGTTAAACTACAATTCTGTTTCACACAGCAACGACCCCATGGAGCCTCACTGCGCCGGGATGGACGCCGTCAACCATGGCCTGCGGGACTACTGGTGCCACCTCCGGCAACCTTACATCTGCCAGATCCAGGTGGACTCCGTTTGACTCCCGAACTACAACAATTTGAACGAGGAAACAGAACATCTTGGCGGTTGAACCATTTATGTTATTTATTTAATAGACGATTTCTTACCTTTCTACTCTATGGGTTTTATTTCCTTTGCATGACGATTATTTATTTTGTTTGTTTATGTGGGAGGTTTTCAACAAAACAATGAAACCATCCATAGGTAACCGAGTGTCATATTATTAAGAATAATAAATAATGATAAATGTAATGAGCGGGTTCGTATTTATCGCTAGGCTCCATCAGATCATCTAAGACTACGTAAATTATAATTGAGTTCATGCAGCACCAACGACATAAAAAAACTGCACAAACCGACAGCAGTCGTTAAACCATTCCATTATCCAATAAACTTCAGCACGTTTTATTTCATGGTAATATTATGAAAAGGTCACCAGAGACATAAAACCTTGCCTTTTTACCCGACTGCCAAAGAAGGAGGGTAATGTTTTTGTACGTAGGAAATAGAGGCACCTATACTTAGGTATCAAGTAGGAATCACTTAGGAGTAGGACTGACTTTTCGCGGGATTATGTTAAAAATTCAATATAAATGTTAAAGTGAAACAGTCACGAGACGGGCCCAATAAAACTTGGCTGGATTACGACAGAAGTTTTTAATTTAATCCTAAATGTATGAGAAATAAAAGCTAAGCAGCAGTGCCTGCGTATTGTTTTATTCATTTGCCTGTCACGCCGCCATCTTCCAATACCAACAGCTTTGGACAACATGACAGTTTTATTGGTATTTTGTTTCATTCAAGTCAACTCTCATGGTGTACTAGATGAGTTGAGAACGTGGAACGTTGCATCGTGTAGGTAATTATTGATTTTTTTTAACGCTGCCCCACACTAAAATTTTCTCCAGTGTCGTGGTGCGTTTACAAACAAGTTCACATACACGTGACACCCAGACCCGGAACAATATTTTGTGGATTACATAAAGACTTACTCCGTATAGGAATCTATCTTTCTTTTTGTACCTGTTCCTACCCCAGCTACTTGTATAAGTTAAATTTATAATTGTTTAATTTTAATTTTATTTATTTTTTAAAACTTATGTTCAGTTGATGTCCTTGGTATAGTAGGATCGCCTACGACAAGCGTACTCTTGCTTAAAAGGTTTTTCCTAATATTTTGTTGGTATGTACATAATAGTTGATGAATGATTATTTTAAATACTTAGGCATCTTATGGAGACAAGGAGCGTCATATCCACAGACATAAATCGTTTTTGTGTTTACGTTAAGGCGATGTACAAAGCGACACGCGTCCGACGTCATCGCACGGAAAAAAATAGGGAATGTATGGCGGTGATTATAGAGTGACCAACAAGGCCGACAGCAGCCAGATGTCCAGCCACTTTCAGGGCAATACACGCCACCGGCGAACCAGGCCCACTAGTAGCTTGGTTACTCTACGCCATCTAGATACTACACCGACCCTGCAGCAAAAGTGCCTGTTTTGCTTCTGCCTGCGTAACCCTGCCTTTAATATTCCGTGCGGGAATTATGCGTGCGGTTTTTTTCCACACGTACGACGTGTGGTGGTTGCCCGCAGCCGGTTGCCCAGCCACGGCAACTCCTTACGTTCCGCGCAGAAATTGAACCCGCGATAGGTACTTACGTCGCACACCAGTCAGTTTTTTTTTTTTTTTTTTTTTTTTTTTTTAAGGGGGGAAAATCATCGAATGACTGCTCCCGCCTGGGTGAGGCGGAAGGGAGTGTCAGACTCTTACTGACTAAAAACCACCCCGTTCCTTCTCCTGCACGTCGAGCCGGAGCCCCGGTTACCCGTTAGGTTCTCCGCGACTCCGAATCGGCATCGGCCCTATTGGGCCCCATCTGTGGTGGTCTGATGGCTCTTTGAGGCGCGCGCGGAACGCGACGCGCCGTACGCTCGGGTCTGTTTCTGGTCGGACGGGGAGCCACCCATGCTCGCCGTCCGCAGGCCCGCGCTTACGGTGGCCGGAGATCGTCCCGCGATCCCCGACGCCCGGTGTGTCCTTCGCGATGGCTGGGTTGCGAGGAGGCAGCGCTTCGCTGCCTCACGCGTCCCGCCTCCTCCTTAGCCAGCATGACTGCTTCGCAAAAGGAGGAGACGGCATCCCAGTCCCCCTCGCTCCGCATCATGGCCTGAACTAGGCCCGGACGCGAGAGGTCTCCATCGCCGATCACTTCCCTGAGGGCACGGCGGTGCTCAGCCCACGCAGGGCATTCCGCAACAGTGTGTTCCACCGTGTCCTCAGGGTGGTCCTCGCAGTGATGACACCCGGGCGTTTCCTCCCGCCCCATCAGACACAGGTACCTCCCGAAACTTCCATGTCCGGTGAGGACCTGCGTCAGGCGGTAGGTGAGGACGCCGTAGCGTCTCTCAAGCCACTCCTCAAAGAGGGGACTTACCGCTGCAATGGCAGCGAGCCCAGCCCTCGGTTGCGACAGTCGTTGCTGCCATTCCGCCATGAGATCGCGCCGGAGCTCATCCCGCCACGCACTTATCTGGCGCGGCAGCGGAGTTTCGCCCCGGCGACGTGCCTCCGCGCGCATGCGATACACGCGCGCGAGCACCTTCGCCTCCAGATCCCACGGCGGTAATCCGGCAAGGAGGTTCGCCGACTCCCCAGAGATCGTGCGGTATCCGCGGATCATTCGGATCGCCATGACCCTCTGTGCCATAAGCAGCGCCCGAGCGGGCCGCTGCAGCAGGTTCGGCGCCCAAACAGGGGCGCCGTAGAGGGCCATGGACCGCACGACCCCGGCGTATAACCTCCGGCAGGAGGCGTTTGGCCCCCCGAGGTTGGGGAGGATGCGCTTAAACGCAGCCCCCACCCTCGCCAACTTTGGAGCCAAACGTCGGAAGTGCTCCACGAAGTTCCATCGACTGTCGAGGACGAGTCCCAGGTACTTCATCGCCGTCTCGACGCCGATGGTAACCCCTCCCGCCATTACTTGAGACCCACCAGGAGGTGGCGCATTCCCGCGGCCATGAAAACACATGGCCTCGGACTTGTGGAGCGCCACCTCGAGTCCCAACTGCCGGATTCTCTCAACAACTGTCGCAACCGCTGTCGCCATTAAATCGGCCGCCGCCTGGTGCGACCTCCCGTGCGCTAGCACCAGCGTGTCGTCGGCGTAGCATATCATGCTAACGCCGTTCGGGAGGTCGGTGCGCAGCACCCAGTCATAACCGATGTTCCACAGGAGCGGCCCCAGAACCGAACCCTGTGGAACACCGCGTGACATCTCTCGCCGGTTCCACTCGCCCCGGTGACCGGGGTAGATGACGGACCTGTCCGTCAGGTATGCCTCGATTACACGACGGAGGTAGGTAGGCACCCGATGATATCGGAGTGCCTCCAAGATGCAGCTCCAGGGCAGGGAGTTGAAGGCGTTGGCGATGTCCAGAGACACCGCCACTACGACCTTACCCCTGGACACTGCAGTCCCCGTCGTCCGGTCCCTAACGCGCATGATGGCGTCCACCGTGGAGCGCCCTCTGCGGAAGCCGAACTGGCCGTCCGATAGGTCCGGCCCAATATCCGTCAGGTGCGCGACGAGGCGGTTCGAAATGATTCTTTCGAAGACTTTCCCCACCTCGTCGAGCAGCACTATGGGCCGGTACGCGGACGGAGAGTCCGCAGGGCGCCCCGTCTTCCGCACGAGGACCAGTTTTCCCGCTTTCCAGAGCAGCGGGAACTGGCCTCTCTCCAAGCATGCGCTGTAGAGACCGATTAATCGAGGCCTGAGAGCCTCTGAGGCCAGGACCCATGCTTTGCCATGCAAGCCGTCGGGTCCTGGGGCGGTGTTCTTGGCGCCCATCCGGCGCACCGCCGCTCTCAGTTCTGCCTCGGTCACCTCTGGGACGATGTCGTCGTCGTCGTCGCTATAGCCCGCGTCGGGCACCGCAGGGGGCGGAGTCATATACGGAGGGGTGAAGCCCCTCCACAGCCGGGGGAACAGGGCGCCAATTACCTCCTCAACGACCTCTGGCCGGAGACTCTGAGTGAGCGGGGGAGCCCAAGCGCGAAGCTTGTCGCGTACCATGCGGTACGGGCGTCCCCACGGGTCTCTATTCAGAGTCCCCAGCATCTCCCGGCGGGCCTCCTCCTTGGCCCGCAATATCTCCGCCTTGAGGACGGCTTTCGCCGCCTGTATCCCTCATACAACTCCGCCTCTCTCGCCTCCGCATTTGGAGGACGGAGACGGCGCCTGCGGTGCCTAGTGTACTGGCGTCGCGCAGCAGTGCACGCCTTGCGTAGAGCTGCCAGCTCTTGCGACCACCAGTACACCTGGCGCTTTTGTTGCCTCGACCGGATCCGGGGCATCGCCACGTCACAGATCCTGGACATGGCGTCCTGGAGCCACTTGGCCTCATCGTCAATGTCGGCAGGCCTGACCGGTGGTATCACCCAGGCCTGCACGATGGCGGCTTCCAGGAGCAGCTCCCGGTCCAGCTGTTTCAGCGCCCAACGCGGGCCACATGGGGCCTGTCTGACCGGCGGATCCGCGGGCTCGGCGGAGACGTTGAACCGGATATACCGGTGGTCGGAGTACGTCTCCACCTCCTCCATGACACGCCAGTCAACGATACGTGGTGACAGAGCAGGGCTGGCGAACGAAATGTCCACCACCGACTCGCCCTGCATCCGCACGCACGTAGGGACAGAACCCCGGTTCAAGACGACTAGGCCTGCCTCAAGGGCCCAGTCTTCCACCATCCTACCCCGGACGTCGGTGAACCGGGAACCCCAAGCCAAATTCTTGGCATTGAAGTCCCCGAGGACGAGCACGGGGAGGGAACGGAACCCGACGACGACTGTGACCAACTCCATCAAGGAGTTGTGGAACTCGGCGAGAGTTCGGTTCGGAGAGAAGTACACGCCCACCACAGCGAGCTCTCCGAACCGTGCTGCGACACAACCCCGGCCTCTTTGAGCTGCCTCAAGAGTCGGGGTACCGGCGGCGGCCGATGAGATGATAGTCACCGAGCCGTCCAGGTCCGCCACCCAGTGATCTGTTATATCAGAATTCCATAATAAGCATATAAAACAATAACGATGACAACGCTATCCTTT